CCGTCCGTCTTCCGGATTCACCCTTTCCTCCTTTCCCCTTGCCCTGCCGAGCTTGTCTGGCGGTGTTAGTCTCGACTACGTCCGCTTTCGGCCGATCTCATTCTCATCTTCCTAACTCCGTTCGTGACTCCGTGATGGGAGCTTCGCGCGAGCTAGAGCTAGGGGAAGGCCAAGGAGCCGATGCCTGTCACCCGATTTCTCGAGGATCCTCATTCGGCACTTCTCCTCACTTTTGAACTTTGGTTCCGTTTCGGTTTGGGGAGGGATTCAAAGCAATGGTTCCGAGACCGAGACAAAAGAGCATGATGAGGCTCAGAAGGGAATAGGCGAGGGGGGGGGGGGGGGGGGGGGTGAGAGTGGTTGACTGGTTCAATGGAACGTGTCTGCAGTGCTGCACGGTTTCCCCGCAATGTGCCAATGTGTGCACCCCCACGCCCTTTTTGCATGAGGAGGTGCCGTGCGTTGCGGTAGCGGTAGGGGATCGCGTGGCTGGATGGCTCAGGGCTTTGGGGATTGGGGAGTTGGAGACTTTGGAGTTACCTCGGGACTCGATGGTCTTGAGAGCTGAACAACGGGAGGGGTCGAGACCGTTGATGTTCTGGTTGGTAAGTGGTATTTTCACGAGGAGATGGGAAGGTCTTGTGAGTTGATGCCTGATGAAAGCCAACAGTTCTCTGCCCGGTGAACGCAAAAGCAGAAGATGTAACCCGTACTTTGAAGTGATGAAGCACTCAAGAGAGCCATCCGAGTGGCGAGAGCGGTATCGGCCGCGGCACGGGATATCGTGAGATTTCCATGGCGTTGATGTCCCAAAAAGCTGAGACTTTGCGAAAAGCTCAACACCACCAAAACATCTACAGACGAGGCGAGATGAACATCGTGAAAGTATCGTCACACTCCCGAATTTAGATCCCGCGACCTTAAAAAAAGGTGGAAAGGCATGCAGGGACCCGGCGATATCCCCATCGTCTCATCGCCTCATCGGCGGTCCCAATGCAGCAAGCAGAACGGACCCAGGAGATCTTCTTTTGGAACATTTTGTCCATCACCGTTACAATCGGCAGAGTCCATGTGTCTGTCCCCAAATCCCAAAGGACGGAACGGACCTAAGAGCAACGTGGTGGTGGTGTGGGCAGTGAGATAGGCGAGCGGGTAAGAGTCGAGACTCTCGAGACGGCTCTGCTCAGTGTACACAGTGATGGTTGCTCAACATCAACCCGTCCGTCGGCTGGGTCCGGGGAAAACCTCTGGATAAGGCATGCCATCGCCGGCTCTCGGGTATGGTATTCCAAGGCGTGCCCTGGTGTTGAGGATAGGTATTCCCAGCTGAACATGGCAAAGAAAGGATCATAGACCTGACAAACAAAAGTCGCATTCAAGGGTCAGTCGGAATGGGTTGCAACTACGATGTGTGAGAAGCAGGAATTAGGTAAAGTCGAAAGCTGGTATCAATGATATCACTTTACCTATCGGCGTCCCGTATCAGCGGCCATGCCACTGCCTATCTCGTGCTAGCCTAGCGTTGGATGGTCTTGGTGGTTTGGTTAGCGTGGTCGGGGGTGACTGCTTATCAAGGGGCGTGTTCGGGGCTATCACTTGCTTGCAGCAAAAGAGATGCGTGGACGCTGAATGGGTGCTGTTCTGTGGGCGGACGGGGATGCGTTGTGTGGTGATGCTTGGCGGACGGGTTGGGGTGCGCACACCAGTGGAGCCGGCCGCCGATAAGATCTTGCCCTAGAAGCCCGGTTGCAGCTGTCTGTCACTGTGTGTGTGTGTGCGTGTCTCCGTTCCTGGGCTCCGTAACAGGACCCGTTCTGCGATGGGGTCGAAGCCCCCGTTCCCCGTTGCCCCGTGAAGATATTTCTCGCACTTCAGAGCGGCGAGTCTGAATCTTCCTCCTGGAGTGTTCGGGGGGGCATCACGCCCATCGCGAAAAGGCTGTTGGTTGCCCCCCCTTCAGTCAATTGATTGAAGAAGATTATTATATCATCATCCCGGTGGCCGCATTCCATCCAACCTTTTTTGAATCCATTTAGTTTCATCTCATTATTCCTTGTTAGTCGTCGACTCCAATTGGCTCACCACCAAAGAAGCCCCTCATTGTCGTCCCATCTTCCATCAACAACAACGACGACTTCGAGTCATCCGTCCATATCAACAACCATCACCACCATTCCCATCGACAGAAAACCCCTTTCGACAACCCATTGAGTGTGTAATAACCTCTTCGACAACCCCGTCATCACATAAACCGCAGCCATGGATGAGGACCAGGGTCCCTCCCAAATCGCTCCTCAGGCGATACCAAAGAGGACCATCGGCGACAAAGTGTCTGGCTTCACACGAACACTCACCCATACCTTCTTCACCAAGGATGGATGGTTGGGCGACTATGACTATGGCTTCCTCTTTAGGCCAAATCTGCCTTTCATGAGGAAGGTCAACAAGCCCGCCGTCTTCTTCGGCCTCAACGACAAGATGCCCGTCGCGCTCGCTCTCATCCTCGGTTTCCAGCACTCACTCGCCATGTTGGCTGGTATCATTACTCCTCCCATCATCCTTGCCGGTGGTGCTGGTGCCAACTTCGACGCCGAACACTCGCAGTACCTCGTCTCTAGCGCTCTCATCGTCTCCGGTCTGCTATCCTGCATCCAAATAGCTCGGTTCCGCATCCTAAAGACGCCCTACTATCTCGGTACCGGTTTGATCTCCGTCGTCGGCATCTCCTTCTCAATCATTCCCGTCGCCATCGGTAGCTTCAACCAGATGTACGCCAACGGTATGTGTCCCGTCGCCGAAGACGGTACTCGCCTGCCTTGTCCTGACGGCTACGGAGCTATCCTCGGTACAGCTGCTGTCTGCGCCCTGCTCGAAGTTCTGCTGTCCTTCTTGCCGCCCAAGTACATGCTGCGCATGTTCCCGCCCATCGTCACTGGTCCTACCGTCATGCTTATCGGCATCAGCTTGATCAAGTCCGGTTTCCAGAACTGGGCCGGCGGTTCTGGCTCTTGCGCTGACGCCAACCCCCTTCCCGAGTTCGTCGTGTGCCCTAACGTTGGCGCTCCTCACGCTCTCCCTTGGGGTTCGGCCGAGTACCTGGGCTTAGGCTTCCTCGTCTTCGTCAGCATTATCCTCTGCGAGCGCTTCGGTTCTCCCATCATGAAGTCCACTAGCGTCATTCTCGGCTTGCTCATCGGCTGCATCGTCGCCGCTGCCTGCGGCTACTTTGACCGCACCAGCATCGATGCCGCCCCTGTCGCCTCCTTCATGTGGGTGCACACCTTCAAGATGACGGTCTACGGTCCGCTGGTCCTACCATTACTAGCCGTCTACCTCGTCTGCGCCTGCGAAGCCGTCGGTGACATCACCGCCACCTGCGACGTCTCGCGCCTGGAAGTTGAAGGCGAGATCTACGAGAGCCGTGTCCAGGGCGGTGTCTTGGCAGATGGCATCAACGGTATCCTCGCCGCCCTGTGCACCATCACCCCCATGACCACTTTCGCTCAGAACAACGGCGTCATCGCGCTCACTCGCTGCGCCAACCGCACCGCCGGCTTCTGCTGCTGCTTCTTCCTCATTATCATGGGCATCTTCTCCAAGTTCGCCGCTTCGCTCGTCGCCATCCCGGCCTCCGTCATCGGCGGAATGACCACCTTCCTCTTCACCTCTGTCGCCGTCTCCGGCATCGCCATCATCACCCGCGGCGTTCCGTTCAACCGCCGCAACCGCTTCGTTCTCACCGCCGGCTTGGCCCTCGGTTACGGCGCTACCCTCGTGCCTACCTACTTCGCCAGCTTCTTCACTTACGAGGGCGATAACAAGTCTCTCACCGGCTTCTTGGACGCTATCGAGCTGATCATGGAGACCGGCTTCGCCGTCACGGCGCTGTTCACCATGTTCCTCAACTTGGTCATCCCTTATGAGTTTGAGGATATTGATGACCAGAGCGTCGAGGGCTTGCCTACCGGTGTTGTGCTGTCCAACGACGGCGCGGCAGCTGGTGTGATGGCCACCGAGAAGGGAAGCTTTAGCGCCAGCGGGGTGGGCAGTGATGACATCAGGCCTGTGGAGAGCGCGAGTGGGAAAATGGTTAAGGAGGCTTGATTGAGCCTTGAGTGTGTGGGTATGGGTTTTTGCATGATGACAAAATGGGGATTATCCTTTAACAGGAATATGTCTGGGTTTGTCTGGGTTTGGGTTTTCTTGTCACTATTTCTTTCATTTTTTGTTGCTGAGATATGCCGTTTTGGAATGATTATAATTGGGAATGGATTGGGTTGGGATGGCTGTGTGATGGGAGATACCACTAGGGAAGGGACACCACTCCTGGACTTGAAAGATAGCCAGGAGCGGGATTGTAAGATGGATGAACGGGTAATGTTGTACATGTATATAATTGGAAGGGAAGGGAATGCAAAGTGTGACCGACTCAACGCGGCGGTCATGAATGAACATACGAAGGATTAAACTCGAACAAATGCCACGTGAACCAAACATTGTTGTGATAAGGGTGATGGTGCTCGCACGAAGTATTCTTCAATATCGCAAGTAGGTCACAAATCATGGGATGATTCTTTACTTGATCACATCAGAATCTCTCAACGGAGTTAAAAGCCACATATATGTCGATTCGAACTCCAAAAGCATTTGACTCTTGCCTTCGCAAGTCCTTTTGTACCAGGCCGTCTTGGACCAACGTCATCCAATCTATGGCCTTCTGAATTTAGGTCTCGTGGTGTATTTCCAATTGACCAAACCGGCCTTGCATGAAGACCGTATCGTCACCCCGACGGAACGGAAATAGAAAACAAACGATTGACAAGGGTTGCCAGAGATATTCGAAGGAGCAAAATGATGCTTAGAAACGGTGTGAATTGGGCAAAGAAGTCAAAACAGATGGCAAATATAGAATGCGAAGTACGAAGTCTTTTGAAAAAAAAAAAGACTTCGCGACACAACCGATCAAACCAAAAAAAAACACACATGAAAAAAGAACCAGATGGACAATACGGGAATTGAACCCGCGACCTTCCACAAGCGTGTGTCAACGACATGCGAAGCGGAAATCATACCACTAGACCAATTGCCCGTTGGTAGTTATTTATATTGGCGAAAACTCATTCTTATATAGCTGTAAAGAATATTGTGGGTCCACTCAGCTACAAGATCCCGTTGTATCACCCATCACACCTAATAATCTTAAGGAACTGTACAATTACTTTATATAAAATTAAGAAGGCTAATGTATGAATTTTACGCTACTTTAATATATTCATATCTTTATCTCTCAAGTTGTAGCAGGTGCCTAGGAGTTGGATTTGGGTAAAAAAATGAATGGGTCGACAACGTGAAAAAAATTAAAGTGAGAGAACCACACTATTATACTTTGTGATACTTAATATGATCATTGACTACAAAAAGTCTAGCCGTCTACTTTAAGTCTAACCGTGGTGTGAATAAGTTTATGAAGCTAACAGAACACATGGTCTACAAGTTTGCAACTTCACCCTCTACCACCCGTGTTTATCAGTGCCCAAATCACCCTCATAAATCTATAAAAGATAAGGTACAAAAGAAATGACCCGCCACAACAGCGCCCGCGCTACCAAATACAACCCCCAACTCCAAACTTCCTCCCGCTCCCAGGTTCTATCCCCATCCCCATCCCCCCCATGAAATGCCCGAGTCTTTCAAAACCCAATCAACCGATTCCCACTAACCATCCCATGAATCCCCCTCTGCACCTGCTCAAACCTCATAGCCCCACACGTCTCACTCTCCAAATGATTGATAATCGCCGCCAACGTCTTGAACTCATGCCTGCAGTCCCGCTTCGGACAATGATACAGAGTCTGCTGATGCGCCGGCGAGTTGAGATGCTGATTCAACCCGGTTCTCGAGTTGAACCCTCTGTGACACAAGTAGCACTCCCACTGGCGACCGTTCCAGGCCCGGTCGGTGCAGGTGTAAGTAGTGGTGGAGGAGGAGGGACCGCCCTCGATGAGTTTCTTGGAGATCACACCGTGAGGGTCTTTGGCTCGTACGAATTTGTAGATGGTGTCTCTGTTGAGGTTGGTGGCGTTGCGACAGCCGCCGGATTCGAGATGGTGGGTGAGGCCTGTCGCGGTGGCGTAGGCGTTACGGCAGAAGGGGCAGATGATATTTTGGCCGCGGTGGATGCGGGAGTTGAGGTGCTTGATGGCCTAAGTTAATACGTTGGAATATGGTGTTGGGTTGGCTTGGCCATGAAAACTAACCTGTCTCAGATTATTGATGCTATCGAATTGACGATCGCAGTCCTTGCAGTAACGGTGCCTCTCATGTTCGTGCTTGACCCGGAGCTCCTTAGTCGCAGACCAATGGTAGCAGCGGCGGCACTCGAAGCCGAAGTGATCCTCCTCCTGCATATGATAAATGCATCGATCCTCGTTCCAGAAGGTTTCACTACAAAGATGGCACCCAAATGTCGTTTCACCTAGGTAACGATGAGGCCAGCCTGCCTCCTCACAATGCTGGTCCAAACCGTGCTCACAGGGGCAGGCGATGCCGCAGTAGTCGCAAACGTACATAGTCCGGACCATGTTGACGGCGTTGAGGGTATATCGCAGATTGAAAATACCCGATATTGTGGTTTGTTGGCAGGATCGTTCCTCAGTTAGCTGCTGTTAAAATCCCTCGATATCTAGTTGATGAGTCCGTCAATTCCGGCGCCGCTGTATTTGCCAAACCGTCGGCAAAAACCTTGGTGAAGAGAGTGTCAAAGAGATGTAGAAAGAACGAAATATGTTGAATTTGGGTTTCAAAGTAGGGTAAAGATCATTTGCGGGGAAGTTTCGAACAGAAGGACGTTCCTTTCCTAAATAAGAAAGAGCAGATTAAAACACGACCGCGGTCTGGACGTGGAGAGATACCGGTGGGCCTCACGCATGAGTCGGCCTGGCTGGGCAGCTGTAAGCGACTGTATCGATTGACGACAACAAAGAGGGAGGGGACTCCTTGTATTGCGACGACAGCGATTGACTCGATATGCCAAGGATATTGTTTGGCGCGTCCCAGTTGCGTTTCTTTATGACTGAATCGTGGCCGACGTTTGGTGGTGTGGTGTAAGATTGAGAATAGGTGGCGGTCACGAGAATGTTGGAAACAATCAGCAATAACCCTAAACGGCCACGATGGATCTCGACTTTAATCTTCAAAATTTGCCACAGCTGGCTGGAACAGAAAAAACGTTTATTTGGTATCTGTTTTGTGAACAAATTATCTGAAGCTCGGAAAAGGAAAACAACTAGATCTGGAAACAACAGACAGCGACTCCCTGACTCCCAACTCCAGAAACTGTTACGAAAGCCAGACTTCCCAGCCCGGCTCATAACAGGAATATGCCTAAAACATTAAGAGAAAAAGCTCATCGAAAGATTGCACCTCCGCAAGCCGTTCAACCTCGAATGATTACCTGCGTGGCGGGCACTCAAAAGACCATGCCACAAAGAACGCTTGCTCCCTTTGGCCCGTCCCTAGAGTAGTCTGCTGACATCAGGGCCTTGAATGGAATTGACGCCGAGCCAGATTCGACCAACGACACCGGTCCAGTAACAGCACTACCGGTGTCAGAAACAGTACCACCACGTACGTAGAAACGGCAGCCAGTTGACGAACATATCAACGCTCAAAAAGAGATCATCCGTCCCTTAGTAACCACCTGGCCCATCTTCTTCTGGACCGCATCAAAGCCCATGAATCGGCACGACTCGCTCTCAAGATGGTTGATGATAGCAGCCAAGGTCTTGAACTCGGAGGGGCAGTTGTTATTGGGGCAGTGGTAGAGAATCGAGTAGTCTGTTTGCGTTGGAGTTAGCCATCCGTACTATCGCTTTGTTTTTATATACAAGTCCAACCCGGGACCCAGAGAACGATAGAGGGAAGGGAAAGAGAACAAAAACTTACGAGCAGGACTATTCAAATGCTTATCCAACCCCTCCCTCGTCGTGCACACCCTGCTGCAAAGGGCGCAAGCCCAGGCACGACCGTTCCAAGCGCGATCCGTGGCTTTGTAGCGGTTGGGGTTCGACTCGCCGCCCGTCCAGCCGATCAGGTTCTTGGAGATGACACCGGAGGGATCCTTCTGGCGGATGATCTGGTAGATCCTGTCGCGGTTGAGCGAGGGGGCGTTGCGGCAGCCGCTGGACTCCAGGTGATGAGTAAGACCGGTGGCGGTGGTGAAGTTGTTGCGGCAGAAGGGGCACTCCATGGGTTGGCCGCGGTGGGTGCGGGAGTTGAGGTGCTGCGAAAGGGAGTGTTAGGGACATGTTCAGAGGGAAGGGATGGGAGAGAGGATAGGGATATGGTCTGGCGAATCCTGGCGACGACGACTGTTGCCTCTGGAATAGGAGGTCGAATGGGAGCATGCGGTAGCTTACCATCTTGATATTATTCACATTCTGGAAGAACTTGTCACAATCGGCGCAGTAATTGTGATACTCAACCTCGTGATCGGTACACGCCTTCTGAGTACGATAGCGGTTGTCGCACACGCCGCACTCATAGCCAGCATGGCCCTTGGCGTTCATGTGCTGCCAACGAGCGGCATCGCTGTTGAAGGTCGCGAGGCAAGTGTTACAGCCGTACCTGGCATAGTCGTGCTGGGCCTCGTGCCAGCTGTAGTCGCTCAGATGCTCGCGAAGATCCTCGTCATCGTAGAACGACTGGTCGCAGGTGTAGCAGAGGTAAACCATGGCGACGGTGGCTAGAGGAAGCTCCCGGGAGAATGGACTGAGTGATGTCGACAGCAGTTGATGGCCATACAAGTAGGGACAGAAGACCGACGTCCAGATCTCCTCTCGTTCCCGGCCTGGTGGTTGATATCGGTGCAGGACCAGGTCTAAATGACGGGTTGGTGTAACAAAGGGTCAAGAAGTAGAAAAGAGGACGCCTTGAAAGAAACCCATGCTTCACTAAAAGCACGGGAGCTTGTGTGGGAAAGAGCTCAACGACATGTGAATGGTTTGAAGCTTCCATTCACGCGTGATGTTCCCGCAGTCGTGGTTGACTGACATCCGTCGACGCCATGGCGGGCCTCCCGCATTTTTGGCTGCGGATAGATACTGCACGTCAACACCAACAAAACGTTGAGTGGCTGAGACCAATCCAGAGATCTGATTCGCGAACTAATGTCCTGACTTATCCCACTAGAGTACCTAGAATCGATGGATGATTGCAGTCCTGCTGGATAACGTTGGTTTTGGGTAATGACATGCCCGGGGCTGTTTAAACGGCGTTAGTACTGTTGTAAGAACTGCTTTATGAAATCCACGTACCTCATCAATCCTGGTCCACTCATCGATTCATACTAGGGGCTCTTGCAAAGATACATCATCCTCAAGAAAAACCAAACAAAAGCTGTCCAAGGCGTTCGTCCAAGTCGGCTCCATCGAGCTGAATGGTTAACTAATTCTGTTCCAAATGTATATCCCAACGCCAAGCAATGCTGTAAACAATCATCTTCTCCTTTCGCCCATTCTTGGCTTCTTGTTCCATTAATCAGCCATCTTTCTTCTTCCCGTTGTCCTTGTTCTTTGCCACCAGCCACCACTCCAGCGGCCACGCCACACCGAACTTAGGCGGGCAGCCCTTAATCCCACATCCTAATCTCACCCTTCGCGCCCGCCGTAAACACCTTACTCGTCTCCTGCTCCGACCAAACGACACAGTTGACAGCACCACCGCTCGTGTCGGCGTGGATCTTGTGGTACATCTTGCACGTCTTCCAGTCCCAGAAGCAGACGTATCCGCCGGTATCTCCTGAAGCGACGAACTGGCCGTCGGGACTGCAGACGAGGCCGATGCCGGAGCCGGCGGTGTTGTGGCCGCGCCAGGACTTCTTGCGGTTTTGGCGGAACTTGTCGGAGGCTGAGGAGTAGGCGACGATGGAGTTGTCGGAGCATTGGTAGAGGACGTATTTGCCTGAGGGGTGCTGGGTGGATTTGGTGAGGGCGAACATGTCGGGTTCGCTAGAGTAAAAAATGTTAGTATACGGGCTGATGAAGTGAAACGAAGATTACGACGGGAAACAAACCTGATAGTCTTGATCTC